TCTCTAGAACATCTACAGAATGAAAATTCAAACACTATTGAATGCATTAATGGATCCCATGTGCTAGGGATTCCTACAAGTCACTACTCCTTCCATTTGTATATACATATATATATATATATATATATATATATATAAATGAAACAAGCAACTAAATGAAAATAGCAACATATGTATGACAGATAGAGAAGCATTATCACAGAAGAAAAATTAGCTATTTTATTTATTATAAAATATGGTATGTCATTGACTTGGTGTTGAACTGCTCTGTGATGGAACTATAACAAAGACAAACACAATTAAAGACTGGCCAATATATAATACAATAAATAGTGAGTGCTTGTGAGTTCAACATTGACTTATAATTAGGAACTATTTCAATTAATCTGCATTTTCTTCTTCTGTCGTTAATGAAGGGTCAGAGGTTACCAAAAAATGCAAGTTTTTTTTCCTCTTTTGTGATTTAAAAAGACCAGTAACACGGGTAAGACCATCACGGAATGCACATTTTAACATTCTGATTTTAATTTGTATTAACTGTTATAACTTTATTTTTTTTTAATTGGGACTATACTTTTATTCCAGATTTGATTGCTGTTTGGATTACATTAGCATATTTAATACCGAAAATGAACAGCTCCTTTTTGTTTTCAGTGCCATTGCACCAAAGTACTTAAATATAATCAGTGAAATGTAGATTGAATGTTTTTCCTTATTATTTTAAAAGGCTATAGAGCCATTTTAGAAATGCATGTCATTAAACCATTATTAGCAAAATGCTGTAAAACCTCTGGAAAAAATCAGTATTTTTTTTTCCAAGGTGCTATTACACTCATTTGATTCTTTTTTATAAGCAATTTTATTTATTATACGCTTTCAAAATGTTACACTTGTATAAACTGAGATATATAAGGCCCTCTCTTGAATACAATCAAGCTTTTTGCATCATGTGAAATTGTACAATATATTTGCAGTTTTAACCATTTAGCAGATATAAGTAATTTGTAATAAATTGCCCTGAGTACCTCGCAATCCGTTTCATCAACAAATCAGTTGAATTCCATCCTTAAAATGATCCGTTATAAACAATCTTCACAGAAAGGCATCACTGAGTATCAAAGACGTACAGAATTCTCTGCATGTTGCAATAATAACTATTGAATTTGAAGGGAAATAGGTTTACACTCTCCATGTATGCTATTGAACTAAATTAAATATTTGAAAAAAAAAAATGTAATATACTATCACCCTAAACCAACTGAATCATGGAAAAAATAAAAAAATTGCAATCAAATATTTTATTTAATAAAAACCATTTGTACTGTACAGTAGGCACATTGTATAAAATGAATAGTGGATGTCTCAAAGGGAAAACAACTCAGGCAGAGCCTTTTATAATGAAGACGTATATGTGCCTTTACATATTTACATTGTCTATTAAACTAGGTAAATCGCTGCAACAGTGTGAGCAAAACAGGTATAAATGTTATTACCCTGATGTGACTGATGATGTTTCAGTCGCATAAGCAAGCCATTCATACTCCATAAGGCGTGTAACAGTATAAACTCAGACTGCTACCCTAGATTCTTTATGATGTTACATTTACACTTGCTTTCTATGTATTAATACTCTACATTACTTTCAGAATATTTGAGAAGACTTTTTTAAAGTTTTTTACAAATACACTTAAAAATTTTCCATAAATAGCTTTACTGCTGACCATTAACCCTTCCCCCACTCCCCGTTAACTTCTTCCAAAGTGTAAACTTGTACTAATATTAAAAGTTTAGCCCTCAAAGTCCCACTTAACTGTCTCCTGCTCCAGAAACTAAATTATAAGAAAGGGTCTATTTTGCACTCCTGCATTTTTGCAGAGGAAATGTAAAGGACACCTCATTGCATTTTTGCAGAGGAACTGTAAAGGACACCTCGTTCCCGCTCTGTAGATCAAACTTTACAGCTGTATGCGATGCTCTGTATAGTACATCTCTCTGATGCAACTGTACTTACTGTATTATACTGACCTAGATAACATAGTTTAATATGCTTGCTTTTTCTGGAATTTGGACTCCTAGAAATGTCATCAAATCCCTTACAAATGTCAGATAGATGAGTATGTGACACTTTTTATTCTTCTATTTATATCAGACTGGATTGTAACAGCTTCTATGCTAATATTTCACTTATGAACCCAACAATTCACATTTTAGGGAATAATCATATGCTGGTGTAAAATAAACCATAAACAATAAACAGTAGTTTTAAAATCAGAATAAATAAATAAATGGTATTGAATACGAAAACCCACAAGTGTATAAAACATATTACCACTTAAATGCATTACATTGAAAAACACAAAACACAAGGCAACTGCAGACACCTTTAAGGTAACATACAATATAAAAATGTGTTTTGCATAATATAAATGCATATGGATATATAGAATAAACATGGCATATATATGACTTATTAGAAACAAATCTAAATGCCTATACAGAGACTTCTACATTTATATTCGTTGTCTTATATAAAATGTTCAAATTTCCTGTATATCTAACATAGGATGGAAAAGTATAATCCTTTAATCGTTTCACTTTTTTAACCCAATGTTAATTTCATTTTTAGTTTTTATTTCACTTGTTGTATTTTATTGCACAGAAAAAGAAGACAAATCTATTTTATAAGTCAACATGTGTTCCATACAATATTTAACTTGTTTTTTTGGCTAACACAAATTGGTAATTAAGCGATTGCGTGCAAATTTAAAGAAACTTTAAAACGTTGGCAAGACTTTGGTCCTCAAGGACAGAGCTGGACAGATCAGGACATTAGTTGAATAATGAAAATATAAAATAATAAAAGGAAACCTGTCTGTGAATATAATTATTACTGCATTTATGTAGCCTGTATCCTAGTGTTACAATATCTCCTGGATCAGCATACTTCCTCACAAATACAAAAGAAATACAAAAAATAGAAAGAGAAACTGGCTTGAAATTATAGTCTTTATTTCTTTTTACTGTTATTATTCAAAAGTTAAATTCTATCGCTAACCATATATCATTGATCTTTATGAATTTGTGTGTATGTGTCGGTGTATTTATATGTATCTGTGTGTTAATGTGCATGAATATCTGTGTAAGTATGTAAGTATGCATGTGATAGTGTATGTGCATACATCCAAGCAGTCAAACGCCATCCCAACATACAAGCAAACTCCTGCAATCTAACACAAACATTACATACAAACACACCCCTGCATTCAAACTCCCAAAAATATATACAAACACACCCCTGCATTCAAACTCCAAAAAATATACAAACACACCTCTTCACTCAAACACAAATACTTCACACAAATGTACATCCGCATTTAAAAGTGAACATTACATTCAGACACACCCCTGTAATCAAACGCAAACAATGCATATAAACACACCCCTGCATACACAATAACTATATACAAGCATGCCAAAATGATGGCTATATCCTCCTGGGGACCAAGAAAAAAAATTGTCTTTCAATATGCCATCCATTGTTGATGAAAAGGAAGAGGAAGTTCCCAGCATCCCAGAATATCACATGATATATCATTGGAAAGCCCAGGATGTCCTCTTTACAATACAGCAGGGAAGTAGCTCAAAAGAATAAAAGGAGATGCAAGTGAATGAAACGTCCAGTAAAGAGGACACAAGTTAATGGGCTGGGTCTCAGGAGGATAGAACAATTTTGTTTACTTTAACCCAGTCCAAGTATGTATAAGTGCTTGGGTCATCAAAACATTACTCCCTACTCCAAGATGCTCTTTTAGAACACACGCCCTGTTACATATTGATATACAATATATTTAGACATACAATTGGTTATATTACTCTCTGTATTATATTTTGACAGGAACAAATCCACTATTTTATTATTATCCATTTTTTATTTCTTTTTGATCATTATTTTTTCACTTTCTCTTCTTATTTCTACTCGTTTCTATTGTTTAATGTTGATTTCTTTATATAACATATTAATGTGAAATATGTTTTTTAAAATACTGTTCAATAAAAATTGTTTGAAAAGAAGCTCTTGTAGCTGTTTATTATTATTAAATCTCCAAAAGGCTTCATTTCCAGACCACACATCCAGAACATCTCACTATGTAGCATTAATCTGGATCCACATCCTTTAATTTGTAAAAGGAGTACTTGTTTACTTACTTTTTCTTTTAAATGCTAGACCCGATACCCACACTCCACATAATACTGGTAAACAGGGCTTTCATCAAAACATTACCTCTTCCCTCCTGTATATGCTTTATAAAAAGAACACATTTTAAAGAGCTCTGAAATTGACATACAGGGTTATTTACTAACGTGAGAATTCTTGGGAATTCAAAGTGAATTTCAAATTCGTAAAAAATCCAGTCTGGCTACTTTAACCCTTAATTTAAAATGTAATTTTAATTCCCCCAAATTCTGACTTTAAATAACCCTGATAGTGTAACTATACCTGTGCATAGAATATTTTGTTTAACTGTGCAAAATAAATTCTAGTACCACCAACAAGCAATGCTATTCCATTGCCAGAAAACATAAAAACATAATTGGATAATAATTTTTAAGTGGGTAACTATATTATTTATTGGAATGGACAGAGGGTGAAACACCCATTTACAAGACCTCTCTGTTTTTCTTCAAGACACTAATGATATCACCATTTAAAGGGACACTATAGGCACCCAGACCACTTTAGCTCATTGAAGTGGTCCAGGAACAGTGCCTCAGGTCCCTTAACCCTGCAATGGTAGTAATTGCAGTTTTTGATAAACTGCAATAATTTCCTTGGTGGGATAACAGGCAGCCACTAACAGGCAGCCACTAGAGGGACTTCCGGGTGGATAGGTGACTTTTGATTGCCTAACTCAGTACTCCTCAAGCCTCTCCTCAAGGCACACCTAACAGTCCAGGATTTAGGGATTACCCGGGTATGTCTAAGGTGTTTAGAAAAAGGGAAAAAAAACACCTTAGACTCTAAGGTGTTTTTAGTTGTTTTGTTTTGTTCTTTTTTAAACCTAAGGTGTTTAAAAAAGAACAAGACAAGACAACTTTCCTTTTTCTAAACACCTTAGACATACCCGGGTAACCCCTAAATCCTGGACTGTTAGATGTCCCTTGAGGAGAGGGTTGAGGAGCACTGGCCTAACTGATGCTCGACATCCTCACAATATTCATGAGGACATCCAGCATCACGCACAGCTTTGTTTTCCTGGCACTAGTTTCCCTTTAATGCAAAGAGTTTGTTGGATCAAGTAATTTCTTGTGAGAATGTCTGCTAAGAAAAGTTTGGTACATTTTTCTTCTCTGGTATTTTTCTCTCCCTTACTCTTAGACATGAATTAGTTTTTTGTTAGTTTTTGTTGTTAAAACTCACAATGGGGGTATGAATTTGTGATTTTTATTGAACAGCTTTCAATTACAGATTTCAAATAATATAAGTAAAAGGTTAGGTAGGTATTGACCTAAGAGTTTGTGATACATCGAAACAATATAATAACATTTAATGTTTTTGGTGATAGACTGTGCAGAAATGCAATATCTTTTAACTCTATTATCTGTTTTGTTTTTGCCAGAGCAGATATATATGAGTGTCAATATATATTTTATTGCATGTGTAGCAAAGCCGTTTCTCCCTAATCAGTGGTTGTTTTGCAGTTCACTTTGATACTAATAGAAAAACTCCTAACTAACTAATTTTTCTTTTGAAATAAGACTCCAAATATATCTCTGTCATTACACTTGAAAAAAGCCCTCTAAGCAAGTCTATCCATTTAAGTATAGCCAATTTAGAGAACTATATTCTAGTATTTAACGGAAATGTAACTGTGTAAATGTCACCCTAAGGGCTGGAGCTCTTTATATTTAACATGAAACAAGTCAATCACTTGACATAATAGCCCCCTTAAACTGCCTTGTTACTGGTCTTCTACAATAAATGTTAATAATTTAATAGAGTGCTCATTTGGTAAACATCTCAAATCAAGGGGAGGTGATGAATACAAATACTTGTTAGATGATTAACGGGGAATTATCTTCTAAAAACAAAGTCCTTATTTAAATACCATCACCAGCACATATTTAAGGAAATCTGTATTTGAAGAAGTGGCATATACAAATGGCCAGTTTGTTAGATAATTAATGTATAATTAAATACTGCTTAGCCTGTTATATCAGCGCTAGTACATTGGATATTACATTCATACAAAGTTATTTACTAAACCCAGAATTTGGGTGAATTAAATCTACACTGCAAAAACAGCTGATCTGAACTGAAAGGTTCTCCAACAATGAACAAGTCACAGCTTGTCTATTTTATACATGACTTTACAAACTGGACTTAATTTTTACATTTCGGAATTTTAATATTTAGGATTTCATTTTTGGAATCCATAGTTTAAAGATAATTGTGAGAGTTACTATAATCCCTATTGACTTATGTAGAAATAACAACATACAACACTGCAAATGTATTTGCATTTGACAACTAAACCGACGAGGCCCAAATAATGTTGAAACAATTGTCTGGTGTTCCTGTATATCTGGTGCATAGGGAACTTGCCAACATTTCAGTTCTGGACTGCCCTTACTGGTGGTGCCAATCTGTTATGCAAATGATGTAGGTTCTCTTTTTAACGGAACAAGTGAGCAAAAACATTTTTGAGACTTGAGAGGGGGATAACTGAACGGCAAGTTATTGAGGTTTCTCTGAACTTTTGCCAATTCTCAGAGGTCTTATATTCTCTGCTTTTGTTGTCTCTACTTTTTCTTAAAAATAAATACATCAGAAATAAAGAAAGGAAGAAAAGATTCTGAAAGAGGACGAGAAGAGGAAACCATAGGAGAAAGCTAAGTTTGCGATTACAGAGCCACTTTTTTTAAATGACAATAATTACTGATATTACATAGCCATAATGATATTATAACATCAGGCTTGAGTTTTGCTCACTCCAGGAAGTAGCTCCCAATCAGAAGCCTCTTAATTACTTCTATGGAACATGCGTAAAGGGTTACTCCAAGTACCATGATCACTTCACTGATTTGATTTGCAGTCTAACTCCACCTCCAGCTGTGAAATTAAGGAATCTTAATTTTTGGAACAATTTTAATTTCTTAGTTTATCTAACCGGATATAAATATATACAAAAAAGTGTTGTTTTATCATTTGTTTATGTAACAGCTATGGATCCTGTTTGTCAAATAAATGTTATAATATGTTTTCAAACAAAAAGTACTTGCGTTTAATAGGTCAAGTGACTCCTGTTTCCATTAGTCTGTCAATTTTAACATACATTTTCCCTTATGCATTGAATACATCATTTATCATTTATCTCTTGTACCATGCCTTCTTTTTTGTGCGTGTTACACTATTGTGACAAACACCTTCAGTCTGCGTCCCCTCTACCCAGTCTTTTGTTTGATTTGACCTGTTTGAGGACAGTCTACCAACCAGGGCAAACGTCCTCCATAGCGCCAACATGCTGGCTTCATTGCTGGCAAACTGGTATCTGAGCGCATAGTCAGTAGGCAGTCATTGCTATACATGGTGGGCAAGTCTCTCCTGTACTTCTTTTCAATCTCTTCAGTCATTCAGAGGCTTATGCCCAATAATTCAAGGACAGGAAAGAGAAATACGTATAGGATTTTCTCACATTCTATACAATTACTGATGATTCTGCTAACACAAAGTATAGATGAAATGTACCTTTAAGTACACATAATCTAGGGAAAGAATGAGGAAGGTTTAATCGAACATACTGACTGTTGGGGTCTGCAGCTTTTTACCCCTTAAGGACACATGACGGAAATATTCCGTTGTGATTCTCTTTCATTTCTAAAGCTCTGTCCTTAAGGGGTTATAGGGAACCTATACTGCTTACCTGGCCCTCTGCTCCCTTGCTGCAATACTCATTAAAGAAGAGGGTGTCCCAATTCTTTAACACCCAGCTCTGGTCCGTCCGTGCTACTCCTCTGTCCTCCTCCACTTCCTCAAGAAGGGCAAACCTCCTCTACACAACTACAACATTCTGACTTTCTTGCCAGATTGCTGGTGTCTGAATAGAGTGTCGTCACTTTCTAGCCAGTGCTTGCAGCGCCAGCTATAGAGTAACCATAGCAACTACATTGCATGCGCGTTGGTTGTTATGCGTGGAGAGCATTCTGCTCTCCCTGTCTCTCAATTCCTCGGCATTGAGTATCTGCTGAATGATTAAGAAACAGATGGGTGAAAAAAAAAACTATTTTTAAATAGTTTTTTTTCTCCAAATCTATACATTTGCAAGCAAAAATGCTAGCACAATGTATAGATCGAATTTGACTATGTTTTAAAAGAGCTAAAGTTGAGTTTATGATGACAGGCTCCCTTTAATGTGAACTAACATGTCATAATTCACAAAACAAATTGAGAAAAGCTAGCCAGAGAATCAATTTTAAACATCTGATTGTGTCATATTTAATTTTCAGAATTACTGGAAATTAAATATGTTGTTGTAGACCCAAATTGTTAATGGATTCTTGGCCTGATAGAATGGGCTACTACTATCCAGTGATTGTTTATGTATTATCATAGGGCTGTACAATGGTCCTTATCCTTCCTATACTGTCCTGACATCATGCAATTGGATGGCAAAATGGATAGGAATGGGGCAAGAGTTTCCCTTGGCCCCAATATTATACTATTCTTTCAAAGCAACAAGAAATAGGAGACAATCCTCTATTTATAGCACATGATTATGTGTCTTGCGCCCCCATCCTCCCCTCCTGCCCATATTCCTACATCAATTACATAAAAATAAAATCTTATGCCCCCATCTTCATCACCCTAGCCATGCCTGGCCTTTGTTGGTTATTATGGGATAAAGATGAGCCAATGCATTTTTCACTGTCCTCCTAATGTATGTAAATTATAGCAGGAAACTGTATCACCCTTATGCTCAGCAGAAGCTTGGGAATCCTCATACTTATATAAATATAGTGCTATTTTTGACAACAGCTTTAGTAGCAGAGAAGGGAGTAGCATTGGTTTTCTGTGTGAGTCGAGTGTATGTTACATATGCCTTCTCAGTTTATGACAATTTTTTCAAGACTCGATTTAGAAATTAGTGGAGACTTAGACTGAACTATCATTTGTCGAGAACATACTAGATAACTTTTGGAAGATTTTACTGTTGAGAACAAGTGCAGGGAGTTGAATAGCTATTAAACATATTTTGTATATACAGCTTTTTTTGCCATCTAGGTGTATTGAGAGCTAATAAATGGTTTAATATCACCCAAGACCAATACCTCAAACAATCTGCTTCTGCTGGATGTATCTGATAAAACAAATACTAACACATAAATAATAAAAGGCTGTGATAGGAGAACAATGTGAGTTACGGTAGACCACGTACGAGTGAGTGCAATGGATTAAGCCACAAACTATTAATAATGAAATTGAACATAAAAATAAATATTTACACTGTTACTAAGAACCCAGATGTATCTACATCATGCGTCTCTATTCAGTCAACACAAGACAAAATGGCAGTTAGTAACATTTGTTTTCTAAAGTAATTTGAAGAACAAACTAATTCAGATTGGGTCTATTGATTGAACACCATCATAAAAAACCTTATTGTGAAACACTGTAAGTTAGTGTCAAATTGAAGACAAGGAAAAAACAAGTAACGTGTTAAGGCAGTTGTTGTTCCAATATGAATTAATTTATTCATTATTTAGAAAGTGTGTATTTTAGCAAGAAGAAACAACTTAAAGTTGTATCCTGTTTATCAAATACATCATATTCAGCTGTCTGAATTTTACCTGCATTATAAACATATTTTACCTTTTGTCAAAGAAGCAACAGTCACACGTTGCTTTTTTGAAGTAGACATGTAGCTAAAACCTTTAAAACATTACTTTAAAAACCTAAATTTCACACCCAAACCAGCATAAGAACAGTTAAATGGATTTCACTGCCTGCATAGTTCACCAATCCACTTGTCCAGCAGATGGCAACCTTAGGCTGCTAAATAACCTATTTCCAATAACTGTAGCTCATTTTATTTATCTATGAACAGACTCATT